TATATATGCCTTAAAAGTATCAGTGTTTTGCCTGCATGTATACTGTGTTCCACATGTGTGCCTGGTGCCTGCAGAGGTCAGAAGAGGGTGACAGATCCCCTGAGTCACAGATGTGAGCCACCATGTGGGTGCAAGGAAACAAACCCAAGTCCGCTGCAAATCAACAAACGCTCTTAACTGATGAACCAACTCTCTGACCTCCACAGTTTTTTATTAGAATAGGACAGTGGGGTTTGGTCATATTCAACTAGTACATTTGGGAGTAAAAGAAATAAGCAAAGCTGATGCCATGACATGTGTGGAAACAGGACTATCACAAATAAGGTTTTGACATACAAGAAGGCCCATGGCCTGAGGTGCATGACCCCTCCCAGTCATTGCAAAGAAAAATCAGAAAGACGTTCTCACCAAGCCCTCCTCCTGTTCAGAACACCCTACCTTGTGGGGTCAAGGGCGCGGGGCTAGGGCCACTGGTTGGGGGCTTGCTTCCCAGGGCGCCATGCACAGCGCCTGCCTGAGACACGGTCTGCATCACCACAGGGCCAGGGGCTCGCAGGTAGGGTTGCCCAGGGGCTGACACGATCTGGAGTACACTACCTGCAATCACACGTCCACCAGGAGCATCAGTAACAGGTGTGTACACAGTAACACGCTAGCCACTTCCAAATGGTACAGTATACTTGCACACACATCACATTTACATGAGTAAACATATCCACAGCTCAGTAACTCTGATGAAGGAGGGAAAAGTTTGAAAATCCCAGAGACAGAAAACCAGTTTGCTTTATACCACATCAAAAAAAGACCACTAACCCTGCACATATCCAGGCACACACCCAATGAGAACCACAGCTGTCCTAGAAACACTCCCAGACCCATGCAGCTATTGCCAACAGGATGAAAAACTACCAGAAAGAGCCCAGGTGCTCATGATGACTCTGTAACTTTTCTATTATGTTATTACCAAATGTGTGACAAGAAAACCAAATAAACCACCAACTACATTCATAGATAGCCCTGAGTCTTGAGGTCCCAAGCCCTGTGGAGATAGGCATTGAAGTGCCATGACAGGCATCCAGCAGAATCCAGGGTAGAGTCTTCTGAAGCTGCTGGGCCGGTGTGCAGGGAAACTAGTACTGCCATGGATACCTGTGAAATCTTAACCTGAAGGTAAGCGGCCAGTCATCACCTGCTGCTGGATGTAGCTAAAGAAGCTGCAACTATTGTTACATATCACTCAAGATTAATTTTAAGGAACTACTCAAATTTCACTACCTCCATTTCTTTGAAAGCAGTAACTACAGATTCTTAGCACAAGGTATGAGAGCTTTGGATCCCAGAGTTAAAATTAAAACTTGAATCTGGCACAAATCTTGAGGTCTCAGCTATGAGACTGAGGCAGGAGGATGGCTTGATCTCAGAAGTCACAGGTCAGTCTGGACAACATAGTAAGAATCCAACTGACAGGTAGACGGGTAGGTAGACCATTTCCCCTACATAAATTGCAGGTCTTTTGGCATATTCATATTAGCGGGCAACAAACATTTCTACTCTGACTTACAAAAGAGAAAAATTTTCAAAGAGAAGATGGTACTGATAAAAACAAACAAACAAAAAGCCAAAAAAAAAAAAAAAAAAGAGTATCACTTATTTAGAGCACTGCCAAAATGACTCAATAATGCTATCTCATCGTTCCTTAATAAGCCCTGATGTGAGACTTGTTACCATCACTTCTGGATGAAGAACCTGAAACTCAGTGGTCAAGTTACCCTGCCACCCAGACAGGTTCTCAAGTGCATATCTCTGTCCTTCTCAACATGAGTATCAGTTGGTTGTCTCTTACCTTGTAACTGTAGAGGCTGGCCTGCTGTTAGCTGCCGCAACTGGCTATGTGACAAGGTAAACTTGTTCCCCTGAAACTGCAGTGTCACAGGTGTCTCTGGCTGGGCAACACGGCTCTGTGGCCCTGCAATGGATGCCAGTTGAGCTATTTTCACCACTTCCCCACCTGTTAAAACACAGAAGAAAAGCTGAACTAACATCACGTGGAGTGAAGTTACTGACCATTATACAGCAATCACTTACTATATATAATGATTGCCTATACTATGCTCAAGTGTTTTCAAAAAACTAGTTAGGTATTGCTTTCTATCATTTTAAAAAAAAGTTATTTTAAGACAAAAGAAAAATACTATTAAATATCAGACTTTAGTGGTTAAGCTACTTAATCACAACTGGTAAGGACTTTTAGTATCAACTCATCAAACTATTAAGGAAACTTTTACTTTTCTCTACAAGTAATAAAAGGAGAAAACCAGCAAATATAAAATATAGCAGAGGTCTATTTGTATTAAATTGGAAAATCTTCAGAAGACTTACAAAATTTGAAAAAGTATGTGTCCAGCAAATAAGATCGTATCATCAACATACGATTTTAATTGCACATGCTTCTAAGTCTAGGAAAGCTTAAGTAAGTAAGTCAGATATAAAACTCTTAAGTTTACACTAATTCAATTGAGCTCAGAGAATTTGATATTTCAGAGCAAATGATCAGAAACTTAAAGGTTTCATCCAACAAATGTTATCCAAGTTCAAATGCTCCTCTCCCAAGAAAACCCATGTCAGGGTTAGTAAAAGTACCATAAGGAGAACAGTTAGTAAAAGACTACCAAACTACCTGAAGATGCCTTGCACACAAAATAACTGTGTACAAGGAAGGGGAAATGAAAATCAGAGAAAGATGTACACACAGACACGTAAATCTCCCACCAGCACTCTTAGATAGGTAAAGCCAGTTGAAACACTCATTCCACACACTACATGTAAGTCCTCCCATACTAATGTAACTCTCATTACCTACAGAAACATGAGGTACATGCAGCTTTCTCCTTTCATGTGACTGTCTAGGGCAACCACTCCTCACTGCTGGCCAGAGAAGAGATTCCCAGTCTTTCCTGAGGCTTTTCCCTCCCTTCCCAGTTTTCCAAAAAGGCCTCAATGTGACTCTGCTACATTATAAATAAGAAACATTTTATGATCTATAATACTTTAAGTTGGCATAATTCCCATATAGGCTGGATACTGGTCTATAGAAGATCTGGAAATCTGCCAATCCCATTGCTGGCAGTACAAAATTCTTAGTTAAGAAAAAATTAGTTAACAATTAGCTGTTTTAGTCACTGAATTGCTGAGCAATGTCTCTGTTGAGGAAGAATTCATGCCAAGTTTAAACTTGGAAATATGTGAGAAACCAAAAACTAACAGTATCTAGACACCTAGTGCTAGTTCATGTAGTCTCACCACTTGCCCCCCAGAGTGGACCCTGGCACCGCTGGAATAGAACTAAGGCTAAGGCTAAATGAAGGTGCTAGCCCTGAACACCAGTGCAGCACAGGAGGAAAGCAGAGCTGGCTGAATGGGGAGGAGAAGAGTAGAACAGAGCAGGGCCCTGGACAATGACCTCTGGCAAGGCCCCACCATGATAGGCATCACGCTCCAGGCCTGGATTGAGGGACAGACAGAGGCAGTGGACAGCAAAGGCTCTTCAGACATCCCGTGTTCCTGACACACTGCTCCAAGGCAGTGAGAGCAGACTCTGGACAGTAAGGCCACTTACTGGGCAAGCGGGCCTGTGCCTGCGAGGTAAGCACCAGCCGCTGGGGCGGTGCACTCTGCCCGGCCACCAGCGAGGGGGCCTGGGGCGGGGGCAGGGGTGGGCCTGGGGTGGAGGCCTGGACAGCGGTCTGAGCCCGCAGTTTCGAAGGATGGGCTGGGCCTGTTGCTGTGCTGGAGGTCGAGGTGGGTTGGTGTCGAGGCGCACCGACGGAAGCCTGAGAGTTCTGAAACGGGGCTGCTGCTGCTGCAATCAATAAGGTTGTTTTGTGCAAAGCTGTTAGAGGTTCTTCATAACACGCAGTATTTTACAACCGAATGTTAAGGAAATAACATAAACATTATTTCACAGTTTCTCAAATGAGAAGCCCACTCTTAGGAAACAAACATGGAGGAGCTTGTACAGTCCTTGGGTTAAGAGAAACTTAAGGCTCTGTCTGTTGTCAATCACTAAAGCTCCCTGTAAGCTGACAGAACACACAGGGCAAACATCTTGAACTAAACAGGGCTGTCAAATGCTCTCAGCTGTTAGGAAGCACGGCAAACACACAGAAGCATCCTCTCTCTGCACTACAGAAACCTTTGCACTGCTGTTTTCAGATGAGGCTAAGACCACTTCTAGGACTTTCCCTGTACCCTTACCAAGGAAACTAAAACAATAGCACCAAATGCAACAGGAAGGTTCAGAACTTTCCTGAACAACCTTGACATACTTTAAGAAAACACTTTGTAGAGGTTGCCCACCTGCTCAGCTAAGGTGAACTTTCTTCTATAGGGAAAACCCAGAACAGAAAACAAATCTCTACAACCAGGCACAGTGTTGCATGCCTGTAAATCCCAGTATTAAGGGGACTAGAAGCAGAGAGATTGTGAATTCTAGACTATCCTGGGCTACATAGTAAGATCCTGTCTCAAAAAAAAGAAAGAAAAGAAAAGAAAAAAAAAGAAAAGAGGGAAGGAGGGAGGGAGG